ACTCTCCGGGCGAATTCTGACTCTCCTCTTCACAACTTACAGTTCTAAGACTGATGGAAGTGGAGCTGAGGACGAATTCTATGGTTTTGAACCATATGGTACCATTGTGCCATAAGGTACAATGGTACCATATGGTACAATGGTGCCATGTCATACAATGGTATCATATGGTACAATGGTACCATATGGTACAATGGTACCATACAGTACATTGTACCATATAGTACATTGTGCCATATAGTACATTGTACCATATAGTACATTGTACCATATGGTACAGGGTACAGGGACCCTAATGGAAATGAATCTGTCTGACTTTTTTGGGTTATCCTAGATTCTCCAAACATATGCTGCTAAGTATGATATTCTTTATTTATTTATTTATTTATTTATTTAGAAATTTTAGCATACATACAGAGGTACAAAAAAAATACAGGTAAGAGCAGCATGCCAAAGCCACTTACATGCATAGCATTATGGGCTGGCTTAAAATTAACTTAAGATTAACTAAGCAATGATGAAATCAGTGATAAGACATTATTGTAAACAGATAACTATAAAGCACAAATGAGTATTACAAAGACAGGTCATATGGTTGCATGCATTGCTGTTCATTCAGTAAAATGGAGTATTCTGTTAGGTAGTGTATTTAAAAAAATAACAAAGTTAGATTGGGTCCTAGGTTTAACATTTATGTGATATAATTGTGAGTAACAATTTTGGATATACAATTTATAGGTTCATTATTCAGTATTTATTGGTTTTGAGTGAGTAAGTGAAAACTTTGAAGACGAGAATTTATAAACAGTAGTGTTTCTTTTATATTTACAGGTAATGAATTCCAGATTTTAAAGGCCTTTTATGTGCATTGAGTTTTTGCATAGCGTGAGATGGACACGAGGAACATCAAAGATTTATCTGTGCCTTGTGTTATGGTCATGTGTTCTGTTGAGGTTGGCAAGGAGATGTTTGAGGGAGGTTAATATTCAGAGTTAAGTGTTCTATGTATGTAATAGGTGCAAAATAAGTATGGATGTTTTGTATGGTGAGTAGGTTGAGTGTTTGAATATGGTGAGTGTGTGCCTGTAGTGAAATTTTGTTATCATTCTAACTGCAGCCTTTTGTTGGGTAATTAGTGGTCTGAGATGGTTAATTGTTGTTGAGCCCATGCACAAATTCCATAGGTGAGATAGGGTAAATAAAAGAGTGATAAAGGGCCAGGAGGGCTGACTGTGGAACATAGTACCGTATCTTCGATAGTATGCCTACAGTCTTGAAATTTTCTTAGAAATTTGTTGTATATGTGTATGAAATTTGAGTCTATTATCGAGGTGGATTCCTAAGAATTTTCCTTTGTTAGCTTTGTGATAGGTGATCCGTTTATCGTTATGTTAAGAGGTACATCTGTAGCTCTGTTACCAACTGAATGAAGTAGGTTTTGTCAATGTTTAGTGTAAGTTTGTTAGTCCTCATCCAGGTAGATATTTTCTGTAATTCGGTGTTTACAGTATTGGCTAGCGTGACTGGGCTTGGTGAGAGAAGACGTATGTAGTGTCATCTGCAAAAAGTGTGGGTTTGAGTAATTGCGAAGCATTTGGTAGGTCATTTATGTATAGGAGAAAGAGAAGAGGGCCAAGATCACTTCCTGTGGGACTCCAACTGTAATTGGTTGTGCGGAAGAGCTTGCCCCATTTGCGTACACATATTGGCTTCTGTTGCTGAGGTAAGACTTGAGGTAGTTGAGGGAGTGCCCTCTAATACCATAGTGTGACAATTTACGTGGAGCAAGTCATGGTCAACTGTATCAAAAAGCTTTCATAAGTCAATGAAGATCCCACAGTGGGACTTCTTTTTTCTATTACAGTGTATATGTTCTAGCATGTGTATAATAGCGTCATTAGTATTTTTATTAGGCCTGAATCCAAATTGGCAGGGTTGAGGTATGTTTTGGTGAGATGAGGTAGGAGTAGATTCGTTTATGAATTACATTTTCGAAGATTTTGAGAGAGGTGTAAATTGGATATTGGCCTTAGTTTTCAACTCTGTTTGGTCTCCTCCTTTATGGATCGGGTGACCCTTGCAATTTTGAGAACTGTAGGGAAGGTGTGAGGATTCAATGGATTTGTTTAAAGAGTGTGCAATGATGGTGATAGTACTTGTGACGCTTTTTTGTATATAAAGGGTGGTAAGGTATTTAATCTCCTGCCTTGTTTTCAGTGCGTTGATAATAGGGAGACTTCGTATGGGTTAGTCGGGCTAGGAACAGTTGTGTTCGGGTAGTTGCCAGTGAGGTAGTCATTTGGTGGGGTATCTGAGCTTGGATTTTATTGGCAAGGTTTTGACCTATAGTGGAGAAGAAATCATTGAGTCTGTTTGCTGTTTCTGTTGGAGTTGGGGTTCATCTGATTTTGGCTAATTTATTCGCTATGTCGTGATATCTTTTTTGTTCCCAGAATTCTGATAGGGTCTTCCAGGTCTTTTTTTATATCACCTCGTAAGTTGGATAATCTGTTCTCATATACAATTTTTTTGCCCTTCTTTATCAGCTGTTAGGATCGACGAGTAACGTTTTTGTTTGGTCTCTGGTTATGTGACCCATTCTGTACTGTTTTTCATATCGGTGTTTTGCATTTATGGATTGAGAATGCTGGGTGTTAGCCAGGTGACTGTTCAGTCTCTTAGCTGTCATCTGTTTGTTTTTTTTAGGGCAGTGCTTGTTATAAAGGTATTGGGTCTTTTTTAGAAAATTATTAAAACATTCGTCAATATCTGTATAGATTTCTAGCTCAGTGTGCCAGTCAATGTTTGTTACTGCTGTTGTGAAGTTATTAATGGCTGCCTCATTGTGAAGTCTGAAGGTGACTTTAGTAGTGTCTTGGGGTATTTTACCAAGAGTTGTTATGAGGAAAGTAGGGTAGTGGTCTGTGGTATTATCTGTAATTATGCCTGATTTTAAAGGGGATATGGTGTTGGTCCAGATGTGGTCAAGTAGGGAAACACTAGTCTCTGTAACTCTTGTAGGTTTTGTTACTTTATTTGTGTATAACTAAATAAACTTACTTATGATGCCACATGCACTTGAGTAAGTTTATTCAGGTGTACAGAAATACAATTACATAGATTATCATGCATAGCAGCATATGTATAAAATCCTAGGATAACCCAAAAAAGTCAGGGTGACTTATTTCTGTAGTTATCCCTGTATCTGTACCATATGGTGTCCTGTACTGTATGGTACCCTGTACTGTATGGTACCCTGTACCATATGGTACCCTGTACCATATGGTACCCTGTACCATATGGTACCCTGTACCATATGGTGCCCTGCACCATATATTATCCTGTACTGCATGGTACCCTTTACCACATAGTACAATGTACCATATGGTACCCTGTAACATATGATACCATGTACCATATGGTCAATAGGTGTTAGTGGCATGAGACACCAGCCAAGACTGAGTGAATGGCGACGCAAGACTCTGCACAGTTTCCGCGACAAAGTGCTTTGTCATCCACCTCAAGGAACACGTAAAGTTCCGGTACACTTGTAAATATATAATAGAACATTACTAATATACATTTTTGCATATTTTTGTTGTAAACAACTATTGTAAACAAAATAATAATGAAAATATTACTGTTTGTGTTGAATACAACAGTACCATATGGTACAATGAACCATATGGTATCATTGTACTGTATGGTACAATGTACCATATGGTACCATTGCATCATATGGTACCATATGGTACCATTACACCATGTTGTACCATAAGGTACCATTGCACCATATGGTACCATTGTATCATATGGTACCATTGTACCAAATGGTGCCATTCTACCATATGGTACCATTGTATCATATGGTACCATTGTATCATGTGCCATTTTGCCATATTGTACCATATGGTACCATTGTATCATATGATGCCAGTGTGCCATATGGTACCATTGCACCCTATGGTACCATTGCACCCTTTGGCACCATTGTACCATATGGTACCATTGTATCATGTGCCATTGTACCATATTGTACCATATGGTACCATTGTATCATATGGTGCCATTGTACCATATGGTACCATTGCACCATATGGTACCATTGCACCCTATGGCACCATTGTACCATATGATACTATATGGTACCGTTGTATTCAACACAATAACCGCACTAATATTTTCATCATTTTGTTTACAATAAACTTGTAAACAAGTTTTGTAAGCAATATAATGATAAACAAATTAGTGCAGTTATTGTGTTCAATACAATGAGTGTACACTAATACAATATACATTATACTGGTCTCACAGGCCACAAATGTTATTAGAAAACGAAAAAAATTAGAAAAAAAAGAAAAAAGTATAAAAAACATAAAATAAAAAAAATGGGATTTTGCGGAAGTCACTGATGTTGCCGCCACCCGGTCATTTTGGGTCAACTTCCCACCGCTGTATCTCGGTAAGTACTGATCAGAAAAAACTTTTTTTTGTCTTATTACCTTCACAAAAATATACTCTTTAATTCTGTAAGAAAAAATAATTTTTTTTTTTTTTTTTCAAAATTTCTTGGACGCTGGAGCACCACTTCAGATTTTGGACTTGAACCCTGAAGGGGTTAAATGTGTTTCAAGGTGTTTTAGTACTTCAAACAAGGGGAAATGCATAGGCCAGTATTGCTCCACATAGAATGTATGATATAAATTAGAGTAAATTATAATTTATTTTCCAATTTTTTACTGCTTGAATCTTCTAGCATTATGTACACATAATAACTATGATTTTACAGTTGTTTCAAGGTATAATACTTTTCAAATCATGAAATATGTCACTTCGTTCAAATGTGTTGAGTTATCCTTGATTAATTGTTTGTGAAGGAGGGTTGGGGATACAGTTTGGAGAAGCATGCCTCTGGCAAGACAGTGATAAAAGTGTTTCCTCTTCTTTTTTGTCATATAGTGTTACTATTTATTCCTATTCACCCTATGTATTGTCAACAGGTATCTGTGGTAGCAGGTGGGTATCTCATAGGAAACAATCTGGCCAATGCCAATCTCACCTTAACTGTTGAATCACCTATTACTGAAGACATACACTTCCATCTCCACTTCAAAAATGAAAGAAGTGATGGCCACAGTGATGTTGGAATGATGGTAAGCTTATACTTATTTTGAGAATGAAGGATAATGCCTGTTCTTCTGTTCAATATATGCTTGTGATAGTTATTGCTTTTTAATAATGATTCTGATGCTTCCTTGGGCTTCTTTATCATTCATTATTTTATTCCTTCCATTCTTTCTTGTTAGGGTTTTACCAATACTGTGTTGAGTGACCTAAGGAAGAGAGAGAGTCCTTGTGACTAGAAGAAGACGAAGGAGGGAAGAAAGAGACTAAAGAAGAGAGCATTAGACTTTGTGACTAGAGGTAGGAAAGGCAGGAGGGTGACTTATGGATGAAGGAGAAACTTAGACTTTATGCATAGAGGGCAGAAAGGCAGGAGAGAGACCAAAAAAAAAAAAAAAACAAGAGATAGACCTTGTGACTAGAAAAAGGGAACTCAGGAGAGTAACCCATGGAAAAGAGAATTAGACCATGCAGGGAAAGGGAGAGAGAGAGACAGACAGACAGACAGAGGAGAGAGAGGGACAGAGAGAGAGATAGATAGATAGAGGATAGAGAGAGAAATAGAGGAGAGAGAGAGAGGGTGAGTGAGTGAGTGAGTGAGAAAGTATGGCACCAGGGACTCTTGGCAAAACTGCAAGCACTAGGAGTTGCTGGCTTTGCACTGTGCCTCCTCAGTGATTACCTTCAAGGTAGATCTCTAAGTATAGTTCTCAGTGGGACAGAGTCAACAAGACACTCAATTGGTGCAAGTGTTCCACAGGACAATGTGCTTGGGCCATTGTTATGGAATGTCTATTTCAGTGACCTTCTTCAACTTATCCCAGAATCCCATGCATATGCAGATGACTGTGCTCTGACATTTACTTATCCAAGAGAGGAAGTGCCAGCTGCTCTAAGTTACATTAGTCACCAGCTTACAGCTATATCAGCCTGGGGGAAATAATGGCAGGTCACATTTACTCCTGAGAAAACAAATGATGATGGTCTCCAAGCACCATGATATAAATGCTGAAATAGTGGTAAGAATGAATTGGAGAGTGTTGGTACCTAGAGTTGAAGTTGATATCCTTGGGGTGAAATTTGACATCAAACTCACTACGAAGATCCACGTTGTAAATCTTGCAAACAAAGTGGCCAGGAAGCTTACAGCACTTGGACATATCTCGCATCTGCTCAACAGTAGAAGTTGCAAGAGTTTGTATGAGGCACAAGTACACTCACCCCTTGAGTATGCTCTACTTTCTTTGATTGCTTGCTTCCAGTCTCATCTGCAGCTTCTTGACAGAATAGAGAACAGAGCAAGACATCTCATCTCTTTCTTGGACCCAGCCTGGATAGATCTGTCATTTCGGCAGAGCCTTCAACACCAGAGGGATGTAGGTGGCCTTACTGTTGTGTACAAGAGCAATATTGTCTAAGTACCACACTTGGCTCCACTCTGAGGACAGTAAGAAGTGAGCTTCTACTCAACAAGATGGGCAGCAAACAGTAATTATGCTCTGACTGTATCCTTCTCGAGAACATCACTTCATCTGAAGTAATTTATTCCTGTATAACATGTTTATTCAGCATTATGACACCAACGAAGTAAAGTCAGTTCAAATGAAATCGCTGGCTCATAGATGACTCCAACTTTATCTTGTTCCCTATTTGTATGTTGCATAACATAAAGATCTTTAAAATGAGCTGATGTAGGTAATAGCTCTTAGCTTTTGAATAAAGTTAGGAACTCTTAACCTATCCTTGTAAAACCCTGTGTAAAAGAAATGAGAGAAAGTGAGAGAGGGAAAGAGAATGAGAGGGAAGGGGAATGAAAGAGAGAGGGAAGGGGAATGAAAGAGAGAGGGAAAGGGAATGAAAGAGAGAGGGAAAGGGAATGGAAGAGAGAGGGAAAGAGCATGAGAGAGAGAGGGAAAGAGAAAGAGAGAGGGAAAGAGAATGAGAGAGAGAGGGAAAGAGAATAAGAGAGAGAAGGAAAGAGAATGAGAGAGAGAGGGAAGGAGATGAAAGAGAGGGAAAGAGAATGAGGGAGGGGGAAAGAGGATGAGGGAGAGAGAGAGAGGATAAGAGAAAGAGTGAGTGAGTGAGTTAAGAGGCACGTAAATTCCCCCATCTTCTGATAGCATGTTCATTTTCCAATATAATCTACCTTGTCCATAATTACTATCGCATTTGCTTTGTCTGTTTTGTAAGGTGAAGTCTAGGATCTTTCCGTAGTTCATGGTATAACTTAACAAATCTTTGAGGACAAACCATACCCCCGGCCGGGATTGAACCCGCGGTCATAGAGTCTCAAAACTCCAGCCCGTCGCGTTAGCCACTAGACCAGCTAGCCACAGTTGTGTAGTAGAGGTCTGAGCTCAGACCTCTACAACACAGTTGTCCTCAAAGATTTGTTAAGTTATACCATGAATTAAGGAATGATCCTAACCTTCACCTTATGAAACAGTTAGACAAAGCAAATGTGATAGTAATTATGGACAAGGTAGATTATAGTGGGATAATGAACATGTTATTAGAAGATGGGGGAACTTATATGTCCCTTAAGCCTTGTGACTGGAGGAAGGGGAGGCAAGAGTAAAAAGGGATGGAATGAAAGCATTGTGAGATGACTAGGAGGGCAGGGAGAAGGGGCTGCACTGCATTGTGAGGTAACTAGGAGGACAGGAAGAAGGGGCAGCATTACACCATTGACTACAGACCTGAAGACAATTTGGATGTAGGGTAGGACTGTAGGACCACTGCAAGTGATAATTTATTTATTTATTTATTTATTTATTTATTAATTTGAACATGATACAGAGAAGTACAAGGAATACAATTTTTAAAGTGCAGCATGTCAAAGCCCCTTGTATGCAGAGCATTATGGGCAGGCTTAAAATTAACTTAAGATTAACTAAGCAATGATATATTCAGTGGTACAAAAATTATTGTAAAACAGATAACAATTTAGTACAAATGAGTATTACAAAGACAGGTCTAATGGTCATTTACTGTGTTGCTGTGTAATCAGTAGAATGGAGTATTCTGTTAGGTAATGAAGTTAAATAGTAACAAAGTTTGATTGGGTCACAGGTTGACATTTATGAGTTACAATTATTCAGTATTTATTTAGTTGTGGGTGAGTAAGTGATTTTTGAGAAGAGACTTGAATTTATAAACAGACGGTGTTTCTTTTATATTCACAGGTAATGAATTCCAGATTTTAGAGCGTTTTATGTGCATTGAGTTTTTGCATAGCGTGCGATGGACACGAGGAACATCAAAGAGTGATCTGTGCCTTGTGTTATGGTCATATGTTCTGTTGAGGTTGGTAAGGAGATGTTTGAGGGGAGGGTTTATGTCAGAGTTAAGTGTTCTATGTATGTAGTAGGTGCAGTAATAAGTATGGATGTTTTGTATTGTGAGTAGGTTTAGAGTTTTGAATATTGGTGGAGTGTGCTGTCTGTAGTGGGAATTTTTTATCATTCTGACTGCAGCCTTTTGTTGGGTGATTAGTGGTCTGAGATGGTTTATTGTTGTTGAGCCCCATGCACAAATTCCATAGGTGAGATAGGGGTAAATAAGTGAGTGATATAGGGCCAGGAGGGCTGACTGTGGAACATAGTACCGTATCTTCGATAGTATGCCTATGGTCTTGGAAATTTTTTTGGAAATTGGTTGTATATGTGTTTGAAATTTGAGTCTATTATCAAGGTGGATTCCTAGGAATTTTCCCTCTGTGAGTTTTGTGATAGGTGATCCGTTTATCATTATGTTAAGAGACACATCTGCAGCTCTGTTACCAAACTGAATGTAGTAGGTTTTGTCAATGTTTATTAGTGGGATGGATTGTGAAGGAACTGCCTAGTATGGGCCAACAGGCCTGCTGCAGTGTTCCTCCTGTCTTATGTTCTTTTGTAAGGCAAACTGAAGAACTTATGGAAAAAATTGGGTTATGTTCCTGGCAGCCCCCTTATAAGCCAAACAACTTTTTTTTAAAATTCCAGATCTTACAAAAATAAAAGGAATATGTAATTGTAGTTCATTGTCATGATGTATTATTTTTTTTTACTACTTAAGACTACAAATGCAACAGAAATAATAGTATTTCTTAAAATCAGTCAATCAAGTCAGTAAGTCAGTCAGGGAGTTATTCAGTCAAGTCAATAAATCAGTCAAGTCAGTCAGTCAGTCAGTCAGTCAAATCAGTAAGTTATTCAGTCAAGTCAGTCAGTAAATCAGTCAGTCATCACACAAACTCATATTTACCTCATTCTTTTTGCATACAAAATGACGCTTCATTCCGGCTGCAGGCTATCTCTTGTCTAATATCTCTATTTTCTTCGTTAATTCTAAGGCTTAAACACTTAAATCTTTTCTTGCAACTTCCAGCAACACTTGTATGCCTACTGGGTGCCATGATTGCTTGGCAGATTTAACCCTTTGGCTGTCGCAACCCCAAATCCTGAAGTGTCTCCTGGTGAAAAATATTCGAAAAAAAAAAAGTATTTTTTTTTTTTATTAAAATGTTAAGATTAATTTTCTGATTGTTTTAAGCCCTCACCCCCCATCCCAAAGAAAAAAATTGCAATCAGTACTTACCGGGATATAGAGGAGTAAAGTTGGCAGAGAATTAGCTGTGTAAGGCAACAGCAGTGAATGCCACTCACCTGGTAAACTTTGGTTTACCTCCATTCAAAGGTTTCTTGGTTTTTTCACTATTTTATTTTTTTCACATAATTTATGTGGCCTGTGAGACCAAAGTAAGGTGCAATGTACGTATATACACTCATTGTATGTAACAGTAATCGCACAAACATTAGTACAGTGGAACCTCTACTTGCAAGCGTGTCCACGTGCGAGTTTTTCCAAATACAAGCAGTCGATGGGTCAATTTTTTGCTTCTATACGCGAGCAAAATTTCCACAAGCGAGCAGACCTCAAGGCAAGTTCCTTGACACTGGTGAGGGGCTCTTGCTCTTGATCTCGGGAATTGTATCTCATTTGTTTGTTGGACTATCTTATTGAAACTTGGGCAATGTATGAT